ACTTTGTAGATACAGGAGGCTTTTTTTTCCCTTTTGTAACCACAGCTAACGATACGAACATAATACAATATTATTATGTCTCCCAGCCTTTGTACTGGCACATTGTTTTCTTTGATTTCCCTTTGAAAGACGGATCCTGGCAGTTCAAAAGCTGTTCAGGCATCCCTGTGACAGTGCAGACGGGCTTGGCAGGTGGATCTCGGTGCCTGGGTGGGTGAGGGTGCTCAGAGCATCCCCAGCAGTGTTTGGGGACAGGGGTGTCCCTGGGGCATGCACATCCCTGGGCTGGCTGGCAGCAAACACTCCCTCTGCCTCAGCATTTGCAGCAAAAGCTGGAAGTGCCTGTCACAGAAAATATTGGCTTTCCCAATTTCTCATTTACATTCTCATTCTGTCTAATAAATTATAACAAAGTATTTACTGTTTTGATTGCAGAAGCAGTTCCTCTGCCTTTTTTTTGCTCTGGTTCTGTTTTGGGTGGGGATGCCAAGGTTTCTCCTGTTCCTTTTCTCACTTTAAGTGTGTCATTTGGTCATATTGGTGTCTTCATTCTAATGTTTATTAAAATGTTACTGTCACTGCCAGTCTGAGACTGTGAATCAGAACTAAGAATGTGTAATAGTTTATTTCACATTTGAGTAAATTTCTTCTACTACTTAAACACTATTATGGGTGGTGTTGATCTGAGATGGAGTTTAGGTTTGCCTAGAATGCCGCTAATTTGAGTCTTCTTTTATTGCCATCTGCTGTGGGTGCTACACCCACAAATGTGGGGATTTTCCTGAGTTTCTGTTCATGGTGACAGGGCACATCTGGAGAGCATCTTTCCTTGGTTCTTTATGCAGCTGCCAGCCTGCAGTGTGTGCTGTGATGGTCCTTTGCCTGAGCTGTTTCCATCTGTGGAAAATCCGCGTTCTGCCATTGCAGTAGGAGCACAGAGAGCACCCACAGCAGCCTCCTCAAGGGCAGGTGGTGAAAGGCTTTGCTGGGCATGAAATGTGCAGTGTCTGTTTGTCCTGGCTCTCAGGGCAATTCTTGAGGCACTGTTTGAGGCTCTCACTCAGGATCTCTGTGGAGTGGTCCAGCTGCCAAGGTGTGCCCTGCAGTGATGGACACTTGGCGTTTCTGTCAGCTGATTGTGGCTGCTGGGGACAGGGGTCTGCACCCTCCCAAGTTCCAGCAGCGTCAGCAGCCCTTTGGGTAGTTCATTCATTCCTGAGTTGCATCATTTGAGCAGCTGTCTGTACTTCTAGTTGGGTTAGTTGCTTAAAATTCTGACGTGTTTTGCCCTGTGAGCTGCAGAACTCTTTAAGTGGAAATCTCCTGGCTGCCAAGACACTTCACACCATGATGCAGGTTTGGATCTCGTGCAGGTTAACACAGAGAAAATAGTGAGGGTAGGACCAAAGTCTCCCCTCCTTGTCTACCCCCAGCCTACAGCACCTAGAAAAGGGCACAGAACCAAGTGGAGCTCAACCACAACTCTCTTGTGGTTTTTGATACACCAGGAAAAATTCCTGGCACTGATTGTACTCATGTAGTGACTCCACTGTTGGCCTCACCTCACCAATAAATAAATAACTCTCTCCATGCTTTGGCCTTTGTGCGTTATGAAAGGAATACATGATTGGCCATGGCAATGTGAAGTGGCACTTTTGTTGACCATTTTAAGAAAAGTAATTATAGGAAAGGTATGCTAGGTAATAAGGCTAACATAAAAGATACCAAACTTAAACTAAATGCAAACATTTAACATTATTATCAAGACTGTCTGATTCAAGCACTTCCTTTTTTTTTTTTTTTTTCATTTTCACACATTTACAAGCCAGCAGTTACCTGCAAGATTTGTCAAAACTGTGATTCATCATCAGTGGAGTTTCCATGATGTGTGAGTAAGACAAGGGGAAATTGCACAGAGCTCCCCATCTTTCATTAGAGCCACACAGCTGATCCTTTTTTTGCCTCTGGTTTTGTGCAGGTCACTTGAGAGTATGGCTATCCAAGTACTTACTTCGCAAGGAATTATTACCTCAGAGAACTGAAATTATCATTAAGTACTATTCCAGTTACTGGAAGGATGGCTTAGTCCTGGGAAAAAAAAGTACCTACTAAGCCGTGTTTTCCAGGAAGCATCCTCCAAGAGAAGATTTTTTTTTTTATAAAGCTGATGCTGATAAATTTTCCCTTTTGGTTTATTAGCAAACTGAAATAGCTCCAGAAATAGAATGCGAGAAGTCTGCCTTTTGTCAGACTACTTTCACTCGAGCTGTATAAACCCCAGGAATTATGCGTTGTACTTGGTAAGTAGGATATAAAACACCCCTTGTGGGCATTTCAGATTGTCTTTAAGAATGGAATAATAATAATAATGAAGAGAGTGAGTGAATGTGTGCCTGGCTGCAGTGTGATGCTGGTGTCTCCACTGGCAGTCACTGCTTGCTCTGAGTTCAGAACCATGCTTTGGGTTGGAAGGTCAGCAGGTCTTTCTGCAGTGCCCAGGGACACTTTCACTGTTCAAAACCCTGAAAATTGAACATTTCCAAGGATGGGACATCCACCACTCTCTGGGCAATTTGTTTAAGTGTTTTACCACTTGTTCATTGTAAACAATCGCTTCCTTATTTCTAAGCTAAATTGACTTTCTTTTAGTTTAAACCATTGCCTCCTACAGCAGGCCCTGCTAACAGGTTTGTCCCCATCTTTTAAAAGTCCCTTTTAGGTACTGGAAGGTGTCTCTGGAGCTTTCTTTTTTCCAGGCTGAGCAGCCCAAACTCTCTGAGCCTTTCTGAGAATAGAATAGATCTAGAATAGCAAATAGAATAGATCTAGAATAGAGAATAGAATAGACACTCTCTGGAAATACAGAGTAGTGGTCCAGCTCTCTGGTGATGCCTGTGGCCTCCCCTGCACCTCTTCCAGCACATCCCCGTCCCTGCTGTGCTCAGCACCAAGAGCTGCAGGCTGCACTTTGCTCCTGGCACTCCGATGGAGCTGCTCAAGGGTTTTGCTGCCCTGTGCCAGCCAGGCAGGCTGGTGGCAGGTCCCTGTCCCTGCTCCCTCCCAGGCAGCCCAGCCCCAGCCTGCAGAGCATCACGGCTTTCCTGCCTCTCCTGGGAACTGTGAGCTCTCTGCCTGTCACTTCACACATGTGGAAACATTTTTCCACCTTTCAGATTAATTTAAAGATGGGGATTAATTTAACTTTACAAAGGGCTTTTTGATTCCCGTCTGAAAGCTGCTGTAGGAGCTGCAAATCCAGGGATGAAGCAGCAGTGCTGTGTGTTGGTGTGTTTGACAGTGATTTCTTTCTGCTTGCCCTCACTCAGGGGCTGAGACAATCCTGTGAGTCCCTTCTGTCTGTAGGAACTTCTTCCCCCCTCTCTCATGCCTGCATCCACCCTCAGTTAAAGTTAGGAATAAAATATCTTTCTGCTGGGGAACAACAAATAAAGGATGCAAGAGTGGCAATGGAAACCTCTGATTAATCCCATGGCCAGGTGGCAGATGCATGGCTTGTAGCAGCTCTCTGTCTCCAGTGCTGGAAGCAAAGCTCATAGTTAGAAGTGTTTTCTTCAGCCCTGGGAGTGTTTTAGCACTGGCTTCCATTCCCTCTCACAGCTTTTAGCAGAACAGGTTTAAAGGCCTATGCTTTCTGTTGCAGTGTGTTTCTCAAGTTTCCAGCTTGCACCACAGTTTTTCTGGAGGCTTTATCTGAGAATATTCTGCTGTAGCTCTTTGTTGTGTGGTGAGAATATTTTCACAGAAATTTCTAGAACCCTAATGAAAAACAATTCAGTTGCATTTCTTCTGTCACGGTTTTTTCTGGTGATTCTGTGTGGTTTTCCACTTACATGTGGCTGCCTACAAATGGATTTAAGTGCTTGCACTTGGCTGATGTAGCAAATGGGATGTTGCTCAGGATCACATCATTGAACTTAGGTAAAAGTAACAAATAAAAAGAGAAAATTAAGGTAAGTATCAAGCACAGAGCCCTCCCAGTGGCACCTCAAGGGCTTTCAGAGCAAGAGCAGAGGATTCCCCATCACAGACATTTCAATGCAGTCCAGCAGGCTGTATGAAATATTGCAGGGAGCATTCCTGCACTGGCAGGGGGGTAGGCTAAATGAGCTATTACCAGCAGCTCCTTCCATGTCTGACTGATAGTTGGCTAGGAACGTGCTTGCTGGAGTCGCCAGTTTTTTTCTTTTTCCCTTTTTTATTCCTTTTTTTTTCTTGTTTTCACTTGGAGAGCACTGGTGACATTGGCAGAAGAATGGGCTCCCTTATAACCACTGTCCTTCTGGGTAGAAAAAACATTTCCTCAGCATGGTTGTGAAAGTGAGGTAGTGAGTTCCTCTGTGTGCTGAACTCCACTGTAAAAAACATCTAACAACAGTACAAATGAGAGTGGTGATGAGTTGTGTTTAACTCACATTTTGGATGTGTTTATAAAAGATTTTTTCCTTTAAAATTGCACCTTGGTGGCAGCTACAGCAATGGGGTAGCTGCCTATTGACAGTTGAAATACTACACAATGTAATCCTAATCAGGGATGTGGATGATATAACAGGTTATAGAGGGATGTTAATGCTTACCCTACATCAATGCTTTGACACCACTGCATCTTTTGCCTAAGTCTGTGCCATAAATGTTGTTGTCTTACAAACCTGGAAGGGTTGGGGTTTGATCCCCCGTGTTTAAAACTTGAAACTTCCTCAAAACAGACAGTATTATTTCCCTGTGTTAATCTGACAGAAAGGCAGTGCAAAACAGATGAAAGGGCAAAGGAGCATTGAAGGGGACCCCAGATGAAAGCCTGTGTACAGATTTATCTTCCATGTAGAGGAGCAGGTCTTTGTGAGCAGCACATTGCAATCTGCTGCTGCTCTTTGCCTCTCCTGGAACTCTGCTTGCAGTAGAGCTGCAAAATGAAGAGAAAATGAAGCGCTGCATGGCTCTAAACGCTCTCTCTCTCTTTCTCCCCGCCGTGCGACGCGCAGGGACTCCAGAGAGCCTGGCTGAGAAGGAGAGGCAGCTCATGGGCATGATCAACCAGCTGACCAGCCTGAGGGAGCAGCTGCTGGCAGCCCACGACGAGCAGAAGAAGCTGGCGGCGTCTCAGATTGAGAAGCAGCGGCAGCAGATGGAGCTGGCCAAGCAGCAGCAGGAGCAGGTGAGTGGGCACTGCCCTGCCTGCAGCTCCAGCCACCCCTGCAAGGCTGCCCAGCAGCTTGGCTTCAGCCTCCAGACCCTAAAAGTGCGCCCAGAAGCTTTTCCGTTTGTTCTCCAGGGTGGAAGGGTTTGAAGAGAAACATAGCAGGAGAATGCTGTGTACAGTTTAATCCTAACCATGGGTGTAGATGATATTACAGGTTATAGAGGGGTGTTAATGCTTGCAAATTTAATTTGCAATAGATCCACCTTGGAGCTGTTCAGAGCCTGCTGCCAGCAATGCCAAGGTGTGACAGTGTTCACAGGGGTTTTGCGACGAGGGTCTGACTTCCTATTCCAGAAGGCTTGATGTATTATTTTAAGATATATATTACATTAGAACTATACTATAAGAATAGAAGAAAAGGATCTCCTTAGAAGGCTAGCTAAGCTAAGAATAGAATAGCAAAGAATGATAACAAAGGTTTGTGGCTCGGCTCTCTGTCCAAGCCAGCTGACTGTGATTTGCCATTAATTAGAAACAACCACATGAGACCAATCCCAGATGCACCTGTTGCATTCCACAGCAGCAGATAACCATTGCTCATTTTGTTCCTGAGGCCTGTCAGCTTCTCAGGAGGAAAAAAATCCTAAGGAAAGATTTTTCATAAAAAGATCTCTGTGACACCAAGGCTGTGGGTTCAGTCTCTTCATTCAGGAGTTGGGCTGGATGCTCCCTGTGAGTCCCTTGCAACTCAGAATATTCTCCAATTCTGTGTTATCCTTCAATACTGTTAGAGTTTTTAAACTCTCTATAAATAAACAGGTGCATCTAGCCCTCCTGAATAATCCCCCAAAGATGCTTTAATTCAGAAGTACTGAACAGGTATAAAAAGAACAAAATGCAGCACTTGGATTGTAACATGAGACATGAAGAAGTTGGGTTTTGCCAACTGTGGAAAAAAGCAGAGAATAATACAAAGTCAGTGAACAAGTGTGGCTTTTTTTCTTCTGCACTTGAGAGGCTTGATTTTCAGTTTCTGCAAATATGCCCCTCACTGGCAATGCAAACATGGTTTTCACATGTGATCACTTCCCATGGGCACACATGGACACACAAAATTTGAGGCAAAAACTTAACTTTTCTCACAGATTTCACTGGGCAGATTTTAACAGAAATTAATGCCTGCTTTTATACTTGAACACAAGCAGAGAATATTTAGATATCTAGTTTAAAATTTTATCACACAATTGCAGCTCTGTGAGTTTTAAACTCACAGAATTCTTTGAAATCTGTCATAGTTGTCATATTCAGTGTTGGTATTGTACTTAAGCAATTCTTAAGATTTCTAAGGCACTGCTGCTACCTTCAGCCATTTAAGCCTTGGTTTTCCCTGGTTTTATTTATTTAAAATTATTAATTTAATTATTTTAAAACCTTGTCTTATTTTGGCCTGAACTCCCACATGGGGAGAACAGAAGTGAGTTACCTTGAGCTGCAGAATTTGTATCCTGCTGTTGTTAGGACAGCAAAGGTAGAGGAAGGAGTGAAGGTGGAATTGGCAAGATTCTTTCACCAGGAGACATTCTGTATGAACTATTCACCCTGCCTCCTAAAGTCACCAGTGCCACAGGGATTTGAAAGTGAAAAAGAAAATAAAACAACAGAAAAAGGCAATGAGAAATTAGGATAACTAGGATTTCTTTTAATTGAAGATATTGTATATACTTCTGTATTATGCAGAAATGAAAACATCCAAAGTCTGAAAAAAAAATGTAGTGATAAAAATTATTTTTCTTTCTTAAAGAAAGGCTCCATTCTTGCTTTTTAAGTTCAAGAATGGTTTATCTCCCTCCAGCCTTTCGAGCTCATAACTCCATTCTGTTAATGTCTGCTGTTTCCCTTCATGGGTGTAAAAAGTGTCCACAGCAGCATTTGCAGTCACTTAGGGAGAGGGAGGGTGGAATTCCTTCTGGAAAACTGCACTTGGCTGTGAGAGGAGCCTCAGAAGGATCCATGCACCTCCTTGAACCAGGCTTGTGTTGAACCTTGTGGCCTTGCCTGCCCCCTCAGCTCCTTGCAGCTGATACACACACTGGAGAGCCAGGGATTTTTCCAAGCTCGGTTCCAGTCCTTTTGTGCCTGTTTCTGCATTAATAAAAGTACACTAAGAACCTTCCTCCATGGTGTCACATTGCCATTAAAAAATAAAAAATAAAAATTGAGCAGGTGGTGCCAAACAGAAGAGTATTTCTGGCCATCCTACTTTTTTGCTTTTTCCTACCCTTTTCCACCATTTTTTGGTTTCCCTGCTGGTGTTGTTCTCTCTGCTGGGAAATTTTGGCAGTGCCATTTCAGTAAGATTTTTGCATAGGTCCTTGTCTTGTGTGCAGCACAGCATTTTCCACGAGAGTCCCTTTCTCACCGGTGTTAGCAGTGAATTGAACACGTGCCCCTTGCTTCAGCAGCAGTCTCTGCCCTCGGAGGTTCCTTAGCTCAGAGGAGAGGTTTGAAGAGCTAAACAGGGTCAGAGTTTCCTGTGGATGGGCTCTGGAAATGGTGATCCATATCTCATGTTTCTTCTGTGCAATTTCTTCACAGATTGCAAGACAGCAGCAGCAGCTTCTGCAGCAGCAGCACAAAATTAACCTTCTTCAGCAGCAGATCCAGGTCAGAGACACATCTCCTCCCACACCCCTGTTGCTCTTCCTTTCCCTTCCCCGCTCCTTCCCTCAGCCATTGTTTCTTTAAGAATCTCTGCAGTTGGCTGGCATCTTGTTTATGGAAACACAAGAGGATTTTACCTGTCATTTAGCAAAAAAAAGGTCAATTTCTGGAAAGCCTTATATGATTAGCATGGTTCTTGTGGGGTCAGGAAGAAGCTGTTAGAGGAGCTGGTCATGCAAGCAGAATATAATACAAAATAATTCAGGCATTTGCAGGACCAAGTCCTCTTTCCTCAGGAGTGACAAAAGCATTGCCAGAAGGAGTTTATTGGGAACCAGTGTCCTACAGCTCTGGTTTTGAGGCTTTGCTGAGGGGATTGATACTCTTCAATGGCTGCTAATCAAATGCACCTTCTTCCCTGTGCTTGAGGTTTTGGGAGACTGGAAATTTTTATTTATGGAGAAATATTGTGTGAGTGAGAAGCTGGCCAAAGGGTTGGTTAGATTCAGGAGAGCAGCTGTGTAAGTTCCAGGTCCCTGCAGATTTGTTCCCAGGAGTAGAAGTTGTTGTTAAACCAGCATACCCAGTAAACTTCATTTAGCCTCTTTCTGCCATACTGTATTCAGAAGTTTCTTTTCATGCCATTGACTGTATTTCATTACTTATCTGCCGTGTGCATGCCCCTGTTTTGGGAACGATGTGAATCAGTTTGCTGGGGAATAACAGGAGTGGTTAATAAACATAATCCATGGAATAACAAAGGAGAGGTTTGACTTTACAGATACCTGGGACCAGGTGGAATCTCTGGTTGTTTAATCCTGCAGTTTTGTACAGAGCATTGCAGGCTGCTGTAGACTCTATTCTGTTTTTTCAGTGGCAGCAGGATTCTCCTTCCAAAGCTTTTCATCAGCATTTCAGAGGGAGTTGCCTAAAATTATCAATCACAATTGTAACCCATTTAAGAAAACCTAAAAACCCAATTCCAGCCACATCAGAGGAGTTTTATGGCTTCATACTGGAAGAAAACTTGGCTCTGTCATTCCAGAGGACATTCTGTCCATATCTGGACTTGGCATTTATGAAAAACTCCTCAGAAGGTCCATCCCTCTGTTATAAGGCAACTTCTATACAAGATGTGCTTTGCTGAAAATGATTTTGAGATTGGTAAGGCTTGATTTGGCCTGGACCTCTGTACTCTCTTCTGCTTCCTAATTTGTTTGTGGGAGGGATTTTTCTTTATTGCTGCATTTTTAATAAGGCTTTAAAAGAAAAACAATAGCAAAACCTGTACAATAGCGAGGAAAATATTTGTATTTTTAGCATTTAGCTATGGCAGTGAGAGAGGAAGTTGTTTTATAAGCAGTGAATAAAAATAAATTGAAGTAATGTAATTTGACCCCAACCCTTTTAAGTTTTAATGCCCTGTAGATAAGAATGAAGTATGTTGTTTTTAGGGTAGTGAAGAAAACCCTGGTTATTGATAATGAGATATAGAGCCTTTCATCTCTTGATCCCTGGTCCAAGTTTGACCTAAGTCAGTAGTAAATGAAAGTCAGCCAAGTCCCGTCTGATGGAAGCTGCAATCCTCAGGAATGATTTGGGGCTCTGTCTCAGGGGATTGCAGATGAAATATTGACCCTGCTGGGGTCAGGGTTTCACCTCCAGGGTCCCCTTCACACAGACCCCATCGGGTTTGTGGCACCCTGCTCTTGGATGGTCAGCAGGAAAGGTCAGCAGTGGAGCAGGCAGGGGACAGTGCTGCTCCCTCATTGCCACAGAGCTGGTCTATGTGCAGGGAAATTTGGGTGATGCTGCACGGGCAGGCTGGGCAGTTCCATGCATGATCCTGAAGTCTCATGAACCCTGGCTGGAGCCCATAACTCTGAAAGGAAAAACATCTAAAAATAAAAATAATCCTTATTGACAGAGAACACAAAGCAAAACATTTCTCCTCTAAGTTAATGACTGTCAGATAAAAAACAGTTCTTAAAGAAATCACCCTTTGGATATAAATTAAGGCAATGAAGTCCCCCTAAGATGCCCATGTATAAAATGGTCAGAGAGTTTACAGTCAGCCTATGGGTTATGGGAGGTGGAAGAAAGCTCTGACAGGAATGTAGCTGTGAGTTCAGCTTTCCTGACCTTGCCCTAATTAATCTAACAGGCTTCTGTCACACTGGCCTGAAGTTTTGAAATAGCATGAGATTTATTGACAGGGAAATATTCCTACAAAGAGTGGATAACGGTTTGACTTAGGTGCAGTTGAGTGATTGTGCTGTAGCTATGAACTCAACTTATTTATGACAAAGGAATCGTTTTACTTCAGCCAATTTTTTTCTGAGCTTGTAAGAGTCGCCATAATTCCATATAAATTATTACACAGAAGAAAGCCACTGAAATATTGTATTGAAAGCATAATACCCTAAGGTTAGAAAAAAGCATAACCTGGCTGACCCCATGATTTATGAGTGCTTTCTCTCAGTGTGCTAACTTGGAAACAGTTCCCTTTCTCCTTAGCCCATCACAGTTCATAACCAGGGAGAGACTGAGAGTCCCTTTTCTCCTCAGAGGGCTGCAGATGCTCAGTGGAGCTGCAGCTCAGTTAAACCAGCTCTTCTGGGGTGCTGCAGAAAGATGTTTTAGTTCCTTGGGCTCAGAAAAATGTGCCTGGCATGTGAGTCTGTAAGTGGCACGTCTTTTCCAAGCCCATCTCTGCTGAGTTCATTGGAAGGTGGTGTCACTGAAACAGAAAACAAGGACTTTGTATAGAGAGTTAAGTAAGCTGGAGGAAAGTTGCGGATTAGATTAAATTTGAGAATCGGTATGACCTCAAAATGCTAAAATGGGATCTAGATGGGATTTTGTGTTTTGGCAAACATTTATAATATTTTTTCTACTTTTCAGGATGTTCTAGCGTTAATTTGTGGAGAGGTTTGAGTTTCTCTGAATAATTAACTAACCATCCCCTGTTTTTGTGCCACTTTGGGATGCAGCCCCCATGCACACTCTCTGCTCTGCCCAGTCTGTGTGTGAGGTTTTCCCTGTGAGGTTTCTGCCTCTGAGTGTTGGTGCTGTTCTCCCTGCACCCCTGGCCCTGCTGTTCTGCCATGGATGGAGCTGGAACCTGGGTTTGCACAGTGCATCAGCATCCCCAAAGGTTTCAGGCTGTGTTTGAGGCAGAAATTGTGGGGCAGGCTGACACCTGCTATCTCAGGGCTCTAGCTGCTCAGAGTTAAGTTGGAAAGTCTCTTTTCCCAGCCTAGTGATCAGAGAAGGAGTCAGAGCTCTTCATTTCTCAGTCTCAAGGTTGTTTATTGTTTCTTATCTATAAAACTTTCTCCTGCCCTGCCGAGGTCCGCTCAGCAGGACAGGCAGAGGCACTCTGCCTACCTCAGGGTGGTGTTATCTTTTTGTACTAAAAACTACCTGTGCAATATTTACAATTACTGCCCAATACCTATCCCCTATGTTAGACAGTGAGCTTCTACTCTAAACCAATCTAAAAACGCCAACATCACAGCAGAACATGGAGGACAAGAAGAAGAAGGAGAAAGGCTGGACACACCCAGATTCCTCCATCTTGCCCCCTGAACCCCCATTCTAAAAACCCCCAAAAAATCTATTTTTCACCCTGTGAGAAATTAACTGTCTTTCTACTTAAATTTTCGTGGCTTGTAATTCTTCATATGAGGTTGGTAATTGTTTTTGCCAAGGCACAGGGGTCCTGGGCAGGGGCTCGATCCCTCCAGGGCAGCCAGAGGAATTTCCTGGGTTCAGATACTGATATAACTCAGGAAGTTCTTGGCTTCAGCTCACTTTTGTCCTCCAGGGAGCTCTCCTGGGTACCCACTCCTCTTCTGTGGGACCCCAGTCTCTCCCTGGTGCCCTTCCCCTGGAGCCGGGGCATTCTGGGGCTCTGCAGCTCCCATCTCAGCTGGGCACAGAGGGGCAGAGGCTTGGCATGTGCCCATGGGGCTCAGCTGGGCTCCAAATGCACCCCAAAGGTGTCACCCCTCCTTCCAGGGTGTCCTTGAGCCTCAGGGCTCCTTGATCCCAGAGACAAAGCCTGGCCCAGGATGCTGATGGAAGGCTTTGCTTTGGAGCTCACTGACAAGTGTCACTTTAATTGAACCGCATTTAAAATGAAATATGGTTGTTAAAATTCATAAAGCGATTCATATTCAGTAGGGCACTGTTGATAAAATAGGTCAACCTTGCAGCCTAAATTGTGATAAAACTGATACTGCTAATCTCACAATTTTGTGGAAAACCTGACAATGTTTTATGTTTTTCCCTCAAGCCCCAGCTCTTGGAGTCATGTGATGACAAAAATGCCAGCTTTCATTTCTCCCAAATGTAAACTTCCAACTCTCAGATTTCCAGGCAAAATCTGAAACCATGAGCACTACAAGTTCCAAAATTAGAAGGCAAACAAAACAGAGGCCAAATGCTGTTTTCTAATCTGTTCTGATTTTTAGTCAAAATTTTTTTTGGAGAGCCCAGCTCAAGATCTTGGAACGCTTCAGGTTGCCAATAATGTAAAACTAAGATCTCAAAGCAGCAGGCAGCAGAAATGCTGCTTTACAATGTTTCTAACGTTCAGGCCACAGTTTTGTTTGACTTTTTTGGTTTGATACTGTCAGTAATTGGTTACTAATTTGTGTTCTTTTCCGAGCGACATACTCAGCCCAAGAACCAAGTGCTTTTTGAAATTGAGGGCAGTTCCTGGCAGACAGCAATCTGTGTTTTAGGAGGAGAGGGTTTTCATTTTCCCTCAGAGCTAGAGCAGATGTTTTAATGGGACCCTTTTTTGTGAGAAGGTTTGGACCCCTGAGAGTGAGGGGATCCCAGCCAAATTCTGATGCAAAGCTGGAACCAAAGCTGGCCTGTTCCACCTGGTATCTGTTAAATGCCTGAAATGTGGGAATTCATCTCTCCAACACTAAAGTTGTGTTTCAGAGGGAATAATTTTGTTCAGGGCTGAAGGTGCACACAGGGGATTC